GATCTCAACTGATGTGTTGTGAGGAGGATGGTTTTGTTTTTAGCAGTTTGAATAGAAGAGTCACAATGGAGTATCCGGGTATCCCTCAGCCAGAAGATACGATTCAATTCAAAATAGATTGATATGGGGTGATATTTTTTAGACTTTAAATATAATGAATGCACACGGTTTGGGCTCATTGAATACTTGGGCAAGTTCTGAGTTTAAAATGTTGTATTTAACGTCACATTATCAAAGTATGGAAAGACATGGGATTCTACCACATGCTTTTTAACATCGACCGTAACTATTTTTCATCCAACCAACGAGATTTATTGCGTAAATAACCTTTTTTTAACCAAACCGAACAGGAGAAACATTCAAAAAAGTGAGTTAGAAGTCGCAGGATCGAAGACAGCACCAGATTTAATATTCTTTAGAACAACATTAAAGAGTAACTGACGGATATCTTCATTAATAATTAATATTAACGTGTCGTAAAATCTTGTTAGAAATAATTTACAAAATGGCAACAGTTATAGTCATTATACGTGATATTCCAGGAATCTTCGCCACAAACACAATTGATAACATTCATACCTTACACAGGTTTCCAATCTACAGCCCAAATGACCTTTGGCTCCAAAAATGTTGTATGTAAATGATTTTTTGAAGGATCCGCATAATTAAAATATCACTTCAAAATGCGCAGGATCTCCAATGTGGTGAGATCAATCAGGGCAGATTAATTTTCGAGAAACTGGTACAAACAGCAAATAATGCGTCGAATATGAGAAAATAATGTATTATAAAGATTTTTTTTATTCAGAAGAAGTGGCCTCCTACTTTTCTGGCCAAAAGACGTTGTACAGGCTGACAAGTGGTTTTGCCATTAGGTAAAGTTCTTTCTTATTTGTCAGCTAATTCCAGCACAAAAGAATAGCTCTTTCGCGGCCCGAGGATTTCAAAACTCTTCCATTCACCCAATGTGCCATCATAGAAACTCACACGCGTCTTAGATAAAGCAGAGAGATTGGCATCTTGAAGAAAAGTTCCAATTTCTTTCCAGACAGGCCTTTATGCGAAGTGAGGCCAAAAGCCCAGAGCTGAGCTTGCCTCCTAAAATCGACTTCCTCGTCCCAAATGTCGTCGAGAACAGGATCTCTCTCATTCAGAAACGATATCTCTGCAACTATGCCACTGCGATCTTTTGACAGAAATGAGAAAGGTTAGTTAGGAACCGAAGTACCGGGGGAGAGTTTGCATTATACCTATACGTGGGAGGTAAGTGTCGACCCCGACGTTTAAAAGAACTCCAAGCCTCCAATTGCACATTTTCTTACTCTCTCCGCACGTACGCACGCTACATGATTTACTTTTTTGCTTGGATTATACACTTAGTGTTGTCACTGTCAGAGGTGATATTTTAATTGATGGCTTGCGCAATTGAAAGCACCTTTCTTACTCATACTCGTATGTCGACACTTCCAAGCAAGAAGGAAGGATTGTCTGTTCTTCACTGTGACATTCACTGCCAAGACACACTTGACCGCTTGAAGGTTTCTCAAGTCCATTTCCATAAACGTTCGTCGAGGCAGCCGCAGTCGAAGGCAGCCGCAGTCCGCGAACATCATTGTGCAGCGCGTGGACGGGGAATCCGGGTCATGTCGAGAGATATTGTTTGCGGATGCGGCTGCCAACCTCCAGCAGGCCCTGAACTCCCTCCCCTCGCCTCTCCGCTCGCCATTCAATGCCACGCATTTCCATTCCCAAGCAGCTGAGCCGCTCAGCAAGTGGCTCTTGCGCACAAGACATGGATTCTTTCAGGGCGCGTGCGGATCCGCGACAACGCACCTCCCAAACGCCGCACACATTCGACCTGCGTTGTTGGTACGAACCCTTAGATTCTTGAGGTTTCTCTGAATGCTGGGTGGGATGTAAATGCTAAATGCCATCTTAATTTGGTTAACTATTTGAAGGTTTTAGAAGGATTACATGTGGCCATGGCTCAGTGACAACACCCGTTGCATCTTCAGCGTTGTGAACCGGGCGGTTCTGAAATTCCAATCCCAGCAGTTCCAGAGGATTTTGGCACTAGGAACAAAGCTAGGAAGCGTACTGAACAGGAATCCCATGAAGTTTAGGCTCACTATTTTGCAAGCCGCGTCTAGGCTAGTGACTGCATTTCAGTTATCCATTGTTCACTTAAAATGTTTTAGCGATTCTCTGTTTGATCAAGAAGATATCGCTATTGGTTCACAATATTTTCCCGAACTACATAATTTGTTTTGAATACTATGGGTAGCAATATAATATGTATGTATGTTGAGGTAGAAATGAGAGGTAATGGTTGGAAGAGTGCGTAGAGTGAAGTAATGTGGGTTTGAATTCCACTCCGGGCGGCCTTTGCCTTGCGAACAGCATTTCGCTGAGGTACGCACGTCCGGCTGATTCCACGGAATCGAAGCTCGCTTCATTGTTGCGAGACCCTTCCCCAGGATGTTTCTAGAGAGCCCAGCCCAGGTCGTGAAGCTCTTATATAACAATATAACAGTACATTTTACCAAGGCAATGAGAAGATCACGTAAATCATAAATATGCATTTTAACACATTTTATTGGGCTTGCTGCAGCACCTATACGTTGTTTTGATGCGTATCTCTAAATAACGAATGAAAGTACATACCACACAAATCTCTACATTGCAAAACAGAATCACTTTATCCAGGGTCACTATCTTTACGAGAGGCCACTTTCATGCAGCCGCTAGGAATAAAGCAAGATGTCAGTTATCAAACTTTTATCAAAGCGCTCCATGCGCATTTCGAATGGTAACATTCTAACAGGAATTTGGCGATTTTTAGAGCTTCAAGGAAGATCCAGATACAGCTATTTACCATTTGAAATTGTTTTATTCTGCTATATGATGTTGTACTTAACATATCATGCATCATGAATATTTCTACAATTTAAAAAAAGAAACTACATACCACTGTGGTTGTGGTTCTGAATAAATAAGTTGAAAGACGTTCTAGACACGATTTAAGACAGTGATTAGTAAAAGCGTTAAGTCAGTGCAACTAAGAATTGTTGCCGATCCCGCGGAGGGGAGGGGAATAACGAACGGGAGGCGATCTCGGGAGAAGTTCCCAGGAAGACGCCACCAGGGCTAATTACGGAGGAATGCAAGACAGTCTGAGAAACTTGGGAATTTTTAATAAGTTGGGAGTAATCTGTAATTGTGTAATTGAAAGTTTCAGAACAGTTATTATGGACGCTTTTGCTATCTTTATTATGACATAAAGAAACAAAAAGGGTCACCATGCATCTGTCTCGCTTCACTTATTAAGAGATTAATTTTCAAATTTCATATTTAATTAATATGTACTCATAATAACGAGTCTGAAGCGGAGTCAAAAAAAAGTTGTTTGTACGACACGATGACCATCGTTTTAATACGAAATGTAAAAACAAACTCTCATCAAGGTTTTCTCAAAGCAAATCAGTATCATTATTTCGATGTTTCAATGTATTAGAACCAGTATGTGTTTGGGGTGATCAAATTCTGTTGGAATTCTTGAGCATACTTTTGAAGACCTGAAATGATAAAGCCTTATTTCCGTGGGCATGCGATATAACAAGCGGAGTCTTATCTTGTACGAGTCATTTTTGAGAAACGCCCCAAAACTCAGGCATCTCTGTCAGAATGCCGTGCGAACGGCCGCGTCGCCTCCGGGAGCGCGCGCCAGGCGCGAGATGTCCCCACGCACGTGAGCAGCACTTCGACGGCCCCCGCGCGGATTCCTCGAGTCTGGGGGCCCAGAGGGCGATGGACCGGATCTGGACGAGCGAATGCTAGACGCCGTTAAATCATTTGTCTTCTGGCACGCTTTGGCCGAAGAGGATCGAAGATCTATCCAGAAACCAACATTTTTGTCCGATGTAGTTACTTTCGAGGTTACATCTTCCCAGGGCCTGGCCTTTGTCGACATTTCCTTAAACGAAAACCAACTAACTCACATAAGAGTAACAAGTTTTGTATTTAAATACAAACTGAAGTTTACAAATATTTAAAAAAATATTATATTTGACGTTTGCGCACAAAATTTGATCGGTGTTGGGGATTCGTCATCAAACTTTAATATTAATAAGAACTTTATATAGTGACCCAAGATTTATGCTTACGTTTTTGCTAATAAATAATATTTTTATTTTCATATTCTATAAGAACTGTCAATGATACATTATGGAGTCATAAGTGTCAACAGACTATCGCTATTCTGAATTAACGAAGCTCTGACATTTGGCATGTGTTATCCCATCTCCATCCAAAGCTAATTTATTTTTACATAGTTTACAAATTAATTATTATTTATGCGATTTATTGAAGGTCTCCACAACTCGCTGAAGCCTCAGGTGTTTTTCACAAAATCCTCAGTTAGCTTCGCTTGAAAAAAGGGATAGATTAAGGCGCTCCTGATTTCTCAGTTTTCTCTTCACAAGTACTTTCAAGAACAACAGTGATGAAACCATTATTCTTTGGAGGTGCTCATGTGGTGTCTGACCATTGGTCTTTGGCGCAGCGGAACGCTCGACGCCGTCCTCGGTCGCAGTGAAAGGAGAAGAGCAAATAAAGCTCGTGGCTGCGGCTGGACGGGCCCTCCAGTCATTCGAAGGCCCTCCGCGTCCTCCTCCGTCGCGAATTCTCTCACGCAGCCGGTGCCCCGCGGCCCGCGCCGCGCTTGTCTGCGTGTTGGGCAAGCGGGGCTCCCCTCTCCCTTGCAGGCCTTCGCTTTTACAAAGATTGATCGATGTTTCGTCAACTGCTACGCCCGTTAGTTCAATTACAGACGTCTTCAAATTATTTGACTAAAGACATTTTTCTTAAAAGATTTGCATTTATTACACGTTTACGTTCCAGTACGTGTTGCAGTTATACTGTGCGTGCCTTTGTTCTTAATGAACAGCTTTATCATGTTTAGTTTAATGTTTACCAAATTTACACCTGAGTTATTAATTTCATCGTCGCGGTACCAAATCTCCTCTAGTTTGTCCACGATTTATTGTATATTTCCTTATTCTTCTCTAGGGAAATACCCCATACATTTTCTATGCGGTTCATGTCAGAGCTATTCCGTGGTGATGATAACACTTTAAATTGCTTTTCTTACAAATTCTTGAAGAAGCTTTTGTCTCTGTGGCTCTGTGATTCATCATGCATAAGAATGCCATCTACATTAGGGAACCCCTCTCATTTGAGGAAAAAGTTCCTTTTCAATTCGTATAATCTCATTGTTCCTTCGACAATGTGCAATCTGCCAGGACCTCTCACCGACATCACACTTAACAGTGTTTCTCTCCAATTATATCATGGAACTTAGAAAAGGCATTGTTTAGGAGGTAGCGGCGCCCACCCCCCTGCGGGACATGACATCCGGCACCGACCTTCGCGAAGATTCCCCCTTCAAGTGTCTCCCCAGCGGAGCGCCGCCCCAGCAGCGACGCTCTGAACCCCCGTCGCCTCCTCCCCCGACGAGAGCGGTAGAGCAGCGCACGGAAGTGTAAGCGAACAGGAAAACAGGCGGAGCTCAGAGGCTGTCTCTGCCGGGACGACGCTCCGCCGGCGGGGGGCGCCGAACCCCATCATCCAACGGGGGAGGATCACCGCCATCTCCAGGCATAAAACGGGACTAATGACTATAGACGGTGACGCATCTGCCAATGAACGCAGACGAGTTACTGACGAGATTTCTCTTAGAGGAGCGTGACGGGGACGGATAACTAGACGTAAAAGCAGTGTTTGTGTATCATGAAGATAAGCCAATTATTACTTCGACTCTAAATGGGCGTGGAAAGCGCCAGCAAGGACAGGGCAGCCGCCACGGATGAGCGCATGGGTTGGGTGGGGGTGGCTGGCGAGAGCAGCAGATGAAGAGTGGCGGGGCTTTTAACTCCCTGCAGCCGGCGACGGAGGCGGCGACAGCACGCTTACTTGCACAAGTGGAGTTATAATGTCAAACCGTTTGACGCCTTTCACAAACGACTGCCGTGCGACTCGGTGCGTAACCACGCCAAACACCCCCCCCCCCGCTCTCGGACACTCACTGGAGAGAAAGCTTCGCGAATTAAAATATTTCGCTATTAAGTATATTAACATCTCGAACAAGAAGCTTGTGATTATGTCTCATTGGATTAACAGTAATATTTCTTTGGTAAATACATTAAGCCTGTGAGTCCGTGAATGAAAACGAATGACACAACGAATTAGTTAGACACATTGCTCCTACTCTGAAGAGGCTTGCATGTTTTACGATGTCCAGAGATTTCCGTGTCCAATCGAATCGCTATAAACACAAAACACCGAAAGACTAAGGACACAAGTCATTCAGATATTTATGATAATCTAACATTTTCAATAAGAAATTAAATAGTGAAAGCATGGACTGAAGCTTCTCTGAGTAAAATATTGCAACTGTCTGTTGCAAAACCAATTCTACCTTATAATTATCGAAAAGCGCCTGGAACGTGTTTCCCAACAGCGCCGACCCCCCGTGAGCAGGCGTCTGGCCGCGTCGTTGCGGCTCCGCAGGGAGACTTGTGGGCTTCTGACGCCCGCACGCCCACTCCCGCGCCCGCGCCCGCACTCACGCCCACGCCTACGCCCACGCTCACGCCCACGCCCACGGCCGCGCCCACGCCCGCGCCCACACCCACGCCCACGCCCACGCCCACGCTCGCGCTCAGGCCCTCGCTGCCCAGGGAAATGGCCAACGTTCCTCTCGGACACGGGAAAACTAGCGCTGTTACAACGGCACAGACCTATTTGCATCTATTGTAATTTTCAAAAATTTGGAGAGTTGAGGATTATTTAAATGAATTGTTTTTAACGTTCTTTGCGCGATTTGAGGTGGAAAAAATCATTCAAAAATGGGGGGAGTGTCATGTAAAGTGATTTGAGACTTCATGTAAAGTAGGTACCCACGAAAAGCAAAATATCGTTATTAAATTCCCCACACCTCTATTTAAGCCAAAACGATCAGTGAATACCCATTTTTGAGAAAATCGTTTGAACGGGTTAGGCGCCAGCGTTGACCACACACAGATATTTTGTCGACTACCAATTTTTCGGTATTAAGGACACACAAAACGTTAATTCTGACTACACATAGTGTTAGAGGAAGTAATTTACCATATATCTGAACAAGAATTACCCCCTTTTCTGGTTTCTTTACTATATAAGTAGTATGTGAAGAATTAAAACGGAAAGTGCTAGAATTTACTAGGTAGTAAAAATGTTCTACATGGAGCAGGGCCTGTCACTCCCTGAATGAGTAATATTAAGGCTGTTGCTCTGATTGTTGCTCTGTTTGTCACTAATCAATGTACGGAGAGAGGGAAGTACCTGGGACAACGGGCCACGAGCAGGCCTCGCGCAGACCTGCGCAAGTGTCGTGCCAGCCCCCACTGCTGCCCACACTGATGGAACTTGAGCGGTTACACTACTCCCCGTGATCTAGATAATATTTATTTCAATGTGTGGATGTTAGACGAGTACGTATAAGAGGACTCAAACGCCAGAGAAATAAGAATTCAAAGCAGCTTAGAATGTCTGATCTGTGATCAACCGAACGAAAAGTGAAAGCTTTCGCGAACGAGCCTTTTTCCTTAAAGCCAACGCCACAATTTCAAATTTAATGATGGTGTAACATAACTCATTTAATTGTATTGGGTAATGGGTATAAAAAATTCCCAAACTTTAAGTTTTGCTTTTTAAAAGTCTATTTAGACAATCTGATTTTGTTTTGCAAGTTAATTTTACCCAAATTTTATTTTTTGGGTAATATAGAATTATTTATTTTAAAATGTTTCATTGAGTGCCAAAAAAATAATCGTTAAATCTGTCCAACATTCACCCACATATATATTTGTTATTGCGAGGCTTGGCGTAAAGCTGCTTTGAGGAATTGAGTAACCCGCTTCATCTTGTTAATAAGGAAGGGGATGCAAAGCAATCGCTGCACAAAGCTGCGCACCTCCCACAGAGTGCGTGCCAGATGCTCCGCGCGGCGGCTCCTTTGTGGAGGAGACAGCTGCGCAGCGGCGGGCGCGGGCGCGGGCGCGGGCGCGGGGTTTGTGCCGCGTCAGGGAGCTGCGTGCGCAGCGCCGTCTCCTAATTGCGCAGCAGCCTGTCGCGCAGCGTCGCGCACCGTCGCGTCGGCGCGCAGCAGGTGGTGTAAGCCGCACAGAGAGCTGTAGGACATTTTTTCTCCTGAAAGGTGCGCGATGTACCACTTCGGAGGTTTTTGAAACTTAATGGATTCTGCATGTTATGTTCATACTGGGTGGCATTTAAGTTCCAACAATCTAGGAAACGGGAATGAGGATGGCGGATGACTAGCAGTTTTACATTCGATCAGTCGTTTCAGACTTCGAATATTTAAAGAATTTGGGAGTGTTTGTGAAAAAATGAAACGAATTCATTGAAACAAACACGTCATACACTTTATGACCCTACCAATGAAAAAATAATCGACTTTATCGCATCAATATGTGTAATTAATTATGACACCTGTACCATTTATACTACAATCTATGTCATATAAAGTCCAATGTATTTTCATTACTAAGGAACTATACTTAAAATAACACTTAAAATTTTACAAATACGAACTATATTCTGTAATATTCAGTTTTGAAGTGAATGGTCCTGACGTTTAATCCAAAGCAAAATACTTAGTAATTACTTAATATACCCGTATAACTACCTCTTGGAATAAATTTCATCTTATTCTTAACAAAAATCACATCTTAATCAATATCGATGACTTTCAGATTACCACCAAAAGTTAAACCTATTAAAAGCAAACAAAAAGGCTTCAGGTGACCTCTGAACCCCCTGGCAATGCTAGAGTTAAGAAACAAAATTTCTCATTATTGATGATGGTAACCAAAGGTTATTCGATACTATCGACTGAAGTTAATTAGTTTCTGGGATGAGGTTTCCAGATGGAATAAAACACAATCATTTGCAATCCTTTATGTTGTCTTATTGTAGAGAAATTGAATTCTTTATCAACATCACATTTCGTTGTCAGCTATAACCCCATTAAGGTTAGAGACAAACAAAAGGTTATACGTGCTAATTAGATGTAAAGATACAGTGAACAGCTTGTCCCCTGGAAAGCACATCTCAGAAAAGAGTAAGCCCAGAGTAAATGCGCGCCGGAGCAGAGCAACTGCTGCCAGTTGGTTGAGTGCGAACGCCGTGCGCAGGCGCTGCTGGCGGCCGCCGCGACCCTCAGCCTGGCGACCCCGCGCGCGCATGCGCAGACCCCGCTCGCAGACGAGCAGCGGCCCTACGAGTTCGGCTTCAACATCGAGGGCTACCAGCACCGGCACGAGAAAAAAGGTACGACCAACCTCACACATGTTACAGATTCTTCATTCATTTAGCACGAAAAACATTTCTGAAGCAAAACCCCAACACGTCACCAATATAATTATTATAAAAAAAGTGTTTTGAAAAAGTAACTCGTAGTTTTATTGTCTTTCAAAAAGCGATTGTGTGTACTTGAATGCACATTGAAGCACATGATTTTTTAAAAGCTTATGGATGAATTTTGCCTGAGAGGTCTAAAGCGTAGTATGCACTACATCACATGAAGAGAATTAAGTGCAAAACCGAGTAAAGGTATTACTGTTGTATATTTTCTGGCAAACTTAATATTTTCCTGTCACATATTGCTTTTTAAGAAAACAGCGTTGGCAATCAGGACAACCAAGAATAAAATGCTTCGATTTTCAAAATGTCTTTCAACGATTCGTCACATCAAAATCATTAAATTGGATAATTTAAGGGCGTGGTTCAAAAAGTCATTACCTGGTATAAATCAGTGAACTCTAAACTTCACTCATTCTTTTCAAAATAGCTGACAAGGTCTTGTGAGCATTCGGTTCCGTTATGTCGTAGTCACGATTAACCCTTAGACGTGATCGTGCAAAAAGTTCGGGTCGTGTTAAACGAATCTCCTTTAGGATCTGTGTGTACTGGCTAATTAATGACACTGCACAGTAATCTTATGTCCATAACGAGTATCCATTTTATCTAATGGTCGAAAGACATGAACTCGAGTTCTTTTATTGATGATAATGTTCTAGAAGGAATCCATGTTGCTATATGCACATTATTACTGTTTAGTAATATACTCAAGCTGACGAAAGAATAGTACGCTATTATGCAATCAATAGTCCACAGTTCCGTGAAAATTGTTATTATATTTCGTGAAATTTGTGGTAAAGATTTTGTTGTATTTAGATAATATTTTTAAATGTCAAACTATTCGTAACAATATTGATGGAATTAATTTTAGTTTGCAGTGCATTTTGTTTGGAACACCTACTATTGAAAGACATATTGAAAGATGTAATTATTAAAACTACATATTATTACATTAATTTTTTATAACACCCTGCAACTTGTCCCATACACTTTACTTTCGCGATCCTTTCAAGATATTCAATTCTATATTATCTCGGCAAATTTAGTTTTCGATATTTTTATAACACTTACTAGTACATTTAGTAACATACAAATTGCCACTCACAATAACAAGAAAGGCACTTTTAAAAAATATTTAGCAACTGTTTTGAGATGAGACATGGCGTTGAGAACCGCCTTCCCATCGCAATATCTCTCCAGGGAATTTCATCAGTCTTTTTTGAATGTAGAGGCCTTGCCTTTCCCACACCATCAACTGTTCTAAGTGATGCGAAGGGCCTTCTTCTGTTGTCCATCACCACTGCAAATAGTGCCTATTGTTTCCCCTTGAATGGTGACGTGTTGAGTCCCATTGCGTGACGTAGCCGTGTGTTGCAGATGAACGCGGCATCATCATGGGGCAGTTCGGCTTCATCACGGCCGACGGCTACTACCGAGTGACGGTGTACGCCACCGATGAGGACGGCAACTTCAAAATCCTTGCCATGCGGAGCATCAAGGTTGGCTTCCGTGAGTAAGCCCACGAGGCACTGTCTTCCTCCTGGAACCGTTGCCCCTTCTCTTACGATAGGCCTTACACGTCTTAAAACACACATTCTTGCATCATGAAAAAGTATTCTCTGTCGAACGTGAAATTATCTCTTTCTCTCTGTGGCTGGGGGAATTTTTATGTAACGAAATTTATTTGCTAACTGCATAAATATTTATTATAATGGCTTCATTGGTTGCCCGAAGACCAGAGCTGCTAACGTAAATCTCGTTATCCCGATGTAGCAGGGAGTTCCCGAAGGAAATTGACTTCTCGTGACTACTTACTATTACTGGCAAATTATCTATAATATTTTAGTAAATTGTCGCCTAGTATTTAATGAGAAGTATTTCGGGTCAGACAACTTACAAGACAGAATGTAGGTACGTAAGTCATTCATACTCTTACCAAGCCGTCGATACTCGTTTCGCAAAAAAAGTATGTACTTACATTAGCGATCTCATGTGAACGGCTGTTCTTCATATTCCAAGCTTCTAAGCTCAATTTGACTAGTATTTCGTTTAAGTCGAGGAAATGATAATTTGAAGTCGTTAAGCTTCTTTCCCACAGCGCAATGGCTGGAAACGAAGGAATTAGAACCCCCTATTAAGACCGCGGTACAATTTAGATTTGGCATTGTTTCTCTGGCCAACTCAGCTACCATCAGTGCAGTATTGATAATCTTTGCAGCCACGTAATTTATGCTCCTTGAACAAACACACACGCGCACAAAGCGCGGAGTCCCAGGTGTGATCCACGCGGATCACATGTTCGTCGATAGGTGATCCATACTATCGTTCTTGAAATATTTAGCGTTGTCAGACAGATTCTAACGCTTTCATGCGCTGACAAATAATTGTACCATTTCAGGAGAAAAACCATTTGATGCTACGTTGGTCAACATCACGAATTTCATCTAATTTGATTTCCCGCCAAATGCTAACCGACTATTTTGATGTCTTAATAAGTACGAATATCTAATGACTTTAAAATAATTCCCTGGCAAGGCGATGCCATATTTGGAACCACACTACCTACTGTTGTCTGTTGAGTCATGTGAAGGTTTATTACACACTCAATGATGTCAAATCAAATTGGAGTACGTGCTCGGTGATTAACAATTTTCAAATATATTTCACGCACAATTACGCAAACAATATTTATATTTTCGAAAAATTGTGTATGAACTTATTTTAAGATATCATTAAAAAATATTTCATTAACGAAAAATTTTGTCTTCAATACTGTAGTTGTAGTCCAAAAAATACTGGGAGATTTCAGTTAAAATAGGATTTTCACCAACTTTTAAAGTGTTCCTTACGCTATCCAAAGAAAAAATTACGTACATGAATTTGGAAACAGTTTTTAGAAAATTTAGAAAATGTTGAAGTTTTATGTAAAATCTGTTCAAAAATCAAAATTCTCATTTCAAACTCGTGGCGCTTCGAGTTTGTCCAGATCAATGGGAATATCAATTAAATCGTCTGAAACGAATTTGGCGCTAGACTGGGTTGTCTCCATGCGTTTAATCACGGGCGGGCGGGTGGGCGGGACGAACGGACGGACGGACGGCATGTTGCCGACAATCTATTTTTCAGTATCAATCACTCACAAAGTGTGGGTTCTGACTACCCAACGTGTTGAAGCTAGTACTTTACTACATATTACATGTAGAAGATTTGTCCTTTTATCAACGTGAGGGCCACACAACAGGAATTTAATGTAAAAAATTCGCGGAGTTTACCACTGCGTTTCAATACTTTCTCTTTTCTACGCAAGTGCATAGTAAAGGGAGAAAATTAAATCATGTGCTGGCCCGGTCGCGTGGGCGCACAGCATTTGGGTTGTGAGATGCGAGGCAGCGAGGTGGCGTTGCAAGAACGCCAGGGCCAGGCTCCCCTCCTGGCTGACGAATTCGTGGTCACTGGCTCCTGACGAACGCCGTCGTTTCAACACCGTTGGTGTTGTAGCGTCCGCGCCAATCAGTTAAACACAACTGTAAACTATAGACTATAATTAGGTATAAGCGGTTTACTATAGTACTGCTAGTTATACTATAGCTGTAGCAGTCTTACAGAACTCAGTAATACTACTTTTGTACTTTTATTAATTAACGAACGTTTATAAGCAGGGTACACCACGTTCTATACTTAAAATCCTCATGTTTTCTGTATCTGAGATGAGACGAATTTCATTTAAACTCTGATAAATCATTATTTTATACATTTAAATTCTATATGTTGGCAATAATAATACTATTTATTGTGTTATTCTGTGTATTGTTATGTTATAAATTTATATAACATAATAGTTATCAGAGTTCTGGTATTTGCTTCGCAAAATCTATGTAAGAACTTGTTCATACTCCCAGACCATTCAAAAAACTAAGAAATAGAACACGACTCACTTGAGAACAGTCGATATAATTGCAGTATTGTAGAAGCATCCATATTTACAAGATATGAACACCTTAGAAAGTTGGTTGCAACATGAAATAGGTTTTATATTTAACTAACACTTCATGTATAAAGTTCTTAATTTAGGATATAATTAGTACATTCATTTTTAAAACACGAAGTATTTTTGTTTAGAAAACAATTTAAACTATCTTTAAAACAAATACCATCTACTAAAACCAATTTACTATCTTTTTGCCTGTTTTATGGTATAAACATATTTAATAAAAACTTGAAATTAATTGAATGAGCGCTTATCTGCCGCCATTTATTATTTTATTCTGCGAGTTGCAGCCGATAGAAGATTTCTCACACGGCGCAGACAAGACTCTGGGTATGAGGTTCTAGTAATGTTTAGAAAGGTCATGACTTGGCAAACACGCACATTGCAACAGAAAATGGAAATCTTATATACGATGAGGACACCACTTTTTATTTTCTCTATCTTATGTCTTACTACGTATCTTGTAAAGAGAAAGCACTATTGCAATCGTGCTGTGGAAATCGGCGATTTTTCGAAATAAATAATTTATTGTCCGCACGGTAACGGAAAAGTGGATAAATCGTGTTCCCATATGTATTACATGACTTTCTCTAACACGTTGTGCCGTCAGAAGCCATGTTTTGTGTCTCCTTGACCGCAAAATAGATGGCAAATCGTCGGTCTGTCTGTCCGTGGTCCGACTGTCTAGTTTCAACGCCAGCACCTAAACCGTTCAGACGACTTTCTCCAAAATTGGTATTCTCCGATCAATCTAAATGAACTTGAAACCCTACGTGTGTGAAATGAATATTCGAGAGTTAAGCATGAAAATCGCACCTTTTTAAATGTATTTTACTTTATTCTTACAAGAAATTTAAAGAAAAAACGTAGAGCCATTTTAGAGGAAATTTCCCATGGGCTTCATGTAAAGTAATGAATTAAAAACTAATGTATGATTTTCAAAATAGAAATTTCGACTTACACCAAATGAACAGGGGTTTATTCAATTTGGAAACAACCCTACGCATGGTTTAGGCGCTAGTGTAGTAGAGACAGACGGACTGACGGGCGTCTAATATCCCAAAACATGTATTTCCGTTGAAATCTCGAAATCTATTTTTCGTTGCATTTCATAAGTTTTCTTACACTGCGCATATTACTCCGTATATACGTACGTATACGGAAAAGTAAAGATGAAAATGTATAATGAAATGTTGGGTTAATTGCAATGAAGTATATTGAAACAAAAATATTTTCTTTTAAATCATTATATGTGTGGTAAGAAAGCAACAGGTGTTGGAAGGTATGAAATTTAAATTATTGTTTTTACTGTCACTTTTGGGGATTAATAAAATAAAACTATCAAAATACTTTTTCAGAAAAAAAATTTACATTATGAAAGAAAATTAACATGAAACATTGTTAGCGTTATCACATTAACCGAAAGTTGAGAGGGCCTGCTCAGTAGTTAGCAAGGGGCCTTGCACGGTATCAATTTTTGCTCGCGAGCGCTGTATGTGATGTTTGTCCCGTGTGTTGCAGCGCCCGGGTCGCCGGGCTTCGCAGAGCGGCTTGCGAGCGCGCTGGCCGAGGGCGGGGCGCCGCCGGGCCCTTCGCCACCGCGGGCGGGCCCTTCGCCTGTCGCGCCGCCCCCCAGCGCTCGCCCGCCCGCCCCCTCTCCCCGGCCTACCGCCCGCCCGCCCTTTCTCCCCCGGCACGCCCACCGCCGCCGCACGCCCACCCACAGGCGGCCGCTGGTGCCCAACGGGTGCAGCCACTGCCACGTGCCACCACGACGCGGCCCCGCCCTTCGGGAGCCCGGGCCCCCGGCCCGGCCCCCCCGCGCTTCGCCGCAAGCCCCGACGCCCCGGCGGCGGGCGCTTCCGCCTGCGGCCGGAGCCGCCCCGCCCGCCGCCCCCGCCCCGCCCCGCGGCAGCGCCTCCGCGGCCGCAGCCCTCGCGACGGACCCTCTGGAGGGTTCGCGCCCGGGGCTCAGCCACCCGCGCCGGTCCTGCGACGGGCTCTCCCTCCCCCCCAGCGCGCTGCGCCCTTCGGGCCCGCCTTCGGGGGCAACGGCCCTCCACGCCGCGCTTCCGGCCGGGGGCGGGCGCGCTCACGGGCAGTGGGTTCGGCGGAGGCGCGGCGACGGAGGAGGGGGATTCGGAGGCCTCAGGGGGCGGAGGAGGAGCAGGAAGTGGAGGAGGGTTCGGAAGCGGAAATGGAGGGCGGGGGTGGAAAGTGGAGGAGGCTTCGAAGGTGGAAGTGGAGTCGGAGGTGGAAATGGAGGAGGTTTCGGAAGGATGGGAGCAAGTGGAGGGGGTAGTGGAAGTGGAGGCGGGGTGGAGGTGAGGCGGTTCGAAGGCGCAAGTAGAGGCGCGGGGGTGAAGTGGAGGAGGGTTCGGAGGCGCAGTGGAGGCGGGGGTGGAAGTGGAGGCGGGTTCGGAGGCGGGAAGTGGACAGGCGGGGGTGGAAGTGGAGGGGGTTCGGAGGTGGACAGTGGAGGTGGATTCGCAGCGGTATTGGAGGTGGGAGTGGGATGGGAGAGAGGTTCGGAGGGGAAGTGGAGCAGGGTTCGGAGAGGAAATGAGTCGGAATCGGAAGTGGAGTCGGAGGCGACATTGGAGGTGGCAGTGGAGGAGATTTCGGAGGCGGAAATGGAGTCGAAATCGGACAGACGGAAATGGAGGAGGAATCGGAAGCAGAGGCGGGAGCGGAGACGCAGTCGGCAGCGGTTTCGGCGGAGGATTCGGAAGTGGGTTTGGAGGAGGTTCAGGTGGAAGTTCTGTCGGAGGTCCAGACGGTGAATTTAGAGGGGGCGATGACGGAGAACGCAGTGGTGGGGAGAGTTTTGGTGGCGGTGGCAACTCTGGTTCTGGGGGCGCTTTCCGACCTCCCGGAGGCGCTGGCAGCGGCTCTGCGGGCGGCGGGGGCGGTGGAGCGGGACTCGGATTCCGAGGGAGCCCTGGCGAAGAACGAGACGGCCTTCCTCCCGGAGTGTCCATGGCGGACATCATGGCGCTTCTCTACAAGTTCAACTACACCGTCGGCTTCCACGGCCATCACGAGAGAGGATACGCGAACGGCGACAAGGAAGGCGGCTACTTCGTGAACGGGCGGGATGGCATCAGCCGCCGCGTGGAGTACGTCGCCAACGAATTCGGCTACCAACCCAACATCACCCTGCACGACCTGGGGCTCGACTCGCCCGACACGCCCCACGAGGACACGGAGCGCCAGCGCGGCCTCGAGGGCTACGAGTTCACGTGGTACCCGCCCGCGCGCGCCCCCTGACCCGGCGCGGCCCAGGCCCAGGCCCAGGCGACGACGTGGCCTCGGCCATCACAGACACGCGCCACCATTCCCAGCATTACCTGTGTGCGAGCCGCATGCCAACTTGAAGAAGTACAAAGTAAGGTATTACCAATGGCGAACCAAAAGAGACAGACGTGTAGAAAAAATACAACAAACACTGTCATTTACAAACATTCCCAATTATCTTTTTCATATGAGATACATTAACAAATTGTGAAAAGAATGAAACAAAATATTAGTTCATAAATGACATTTTTATGAATGCTAACAAAATTATTTTATACTTACTTTCCAACAATAAATTTATTTGATATAAATGGTTTAAAAAAATTAATTTTTACTTCTGTTTTATATTTATTTATTTTTATTTAATGTAAGATATTTATTACACAACTAATAGTATTGAGGGCATTACTGTATCAATATTATATAGAAATTTGTTTTTAGTCCTTTAACTCATAGTTTCTGTACTTTACTCAATGTGATCAAAACGTGACTTGCGAGCTTTACCATGCGTCCACAGAATTCTGGAAAATTGTGTAATAAAATAAAATTTAAAATTAATGTTCGCTTATAAATTGATCTTAATTAAATGGCGTAACTCAAAAACTAAGTCAGTCAAATTAACCGTTTGTTTCCACATGTAACCTTCTAGGTGGCTATAGGTCACACATACATTTTGTCAATTAAAATAAAAAAATTGCTTTCCAAACATCCTCCAGAATCATTTGATTATGTTCAATCTGCCTCAAAGCTTTACATTTTTTACAAAAAAAATGTGACTACACTAAGAAACTTTCTTGAAAAAAACTGACTTTCTGTTTTTGAAATAAACCATTACATTTTCTTTAACGATGTTTTCAGTTGCAAACTACATAATACTATTTTCTTACATCCCTAAAAATAAAAATTATACCTCATTGAAATCTGTGTAATTATATTTACTCTCGTCCTAAAAATAATATCATCTTAAGGTAATGAAATTAGGTTTCTCCTGCAAAAAGGTAGGCTTATTTCATTTCAAGTATTATTTTTAAGTGTTTGAATAGTCATTGTGTTCGAATAAATATTTGACGTAATATATAACTCAAAACTTGCAAAATGTAGCATCACAAGACGGCATAATATTAGAATATTTCACCGACATTTACACACAGTAAAATGTAAGAAATATAAACTGCCAGGTCCCTGGTCATTACATAGCAATGAAAGAAGTACTGAAGAAAGGTTACAACACAAAAGTAGAACGTAATGCACTAAAAGCAATATCGAAAACAGTAAAAATGTTGCAGCACGTTTCCGCTCCACAAAAAATGAAATGAGGGAGGCCTACAAATGATCAAACAATTCAATCACTCTTCATTGTGAATACAGAGTTAAACATGCTACTTAAAAACACTCTTCAAATGTTTTATATTTACCACGATCAGTGCATATTATAGTGGACTACAGCTGGAAATCCTCCTAAACACTGTAATTTAAATCAGTCATCACATGTAATTGTAATCGCTGAACACTTTTGTAAATGAATTCATACGTCAAACGATTCCTGGGTATTGAGTACACTAACTAATCTTTGCAATTAATAACACCCAATCTCTGCACACACTATTTCCGCTTCTCTAACTGTAGCCTGACAATTAAACACTTGCTCGCGCTAGACGACGAAATGTAGACTTTTGGGTTGATGGATCACAACTTGCACAAACCGGCCAAGGAATCAAGCTACATCGCTCTGCGGTGCCTCAGATCGGGAGATCCTAGGGTTCGCGTTCCGCCGCTGCCTGGAGAAGAAGAGCAGCGGCCGTCTGCTCTATTTGGTAGTTTTCCGCAGGTTCTCCCATCAAAACCAGACTCAAACGAACGGGCCACAGACCGCACGCAATCTTTCCTTCCACTTCCTTGTCCTTCACTCATTACATAATTACACATGCATGCACTACACTACTGCACATGCCGAGATACCGGTCAGGGGAAGCTCAGTACCCACTCTCGAGATAAAAAAAACAACATGTACTACAGTTACAGTATTAATGATGACGCCCGAAATCACTGATCAATCAATCAACTCGCGCAACAAAACCACTTAATGAACATGTCATGTCGTAGGTAGCAAAAATCACAGACAAGATTACTTTAATATATATAATTTACCATTTACTACTGGAGTATTCGCCCCGGTTAGCATCTGCAAAGTACCGAACACACAGTTCGGCATGGGGCTGGCGCTCTTGCCTGCGGGCTTGCAGCCTCGACTGGCGCCTTCGCGTCAGCCTCAAAACAGAGGTTGGTGGAACAAGGATCCCCTTTTGCTGGGACCACCCGCCTTTGTAGGCTCGCTGTGGCCACGTCGCCACCTACGGTCGCAACCGCGTATTCTCACGATACATCTGGGGCCAGCAGGGCACCTAGCCTCTGCGCCTGCACCCTTGCGCTTGGCCCTCCCCTCTCCCCTTTTCCATTGCCCCGAACATGACTTTCATCGACTTTTCTTCCTTAAAAAGTCAGTATGTCTGTTTTATAAACTACCTATCAAATCTCACGCAAATCCAGAATGAATTATTAATATTCTCTGGTATTGCACAGTTATGAAATTTCGCTACTACAATACTTGAAATGATTATCTACATAATAACACAATAATTAAATATCCCAATTTACAATCATTAGTTAGGTAATTTATCCCTTTTACACACATTAGGAATAAAATACATTTTAACAAACACTCGTCATCACCTCATTTTTACAGAACTTATAATTATTTCTTCTCATTTTCACAACGATAACAAATGTCATGGCTAACTTCATTTCAATCACACTTTCACTCTTTTTCACATGGATCTTATTTTCTGTTCATTCAAGACCCTTCAGAAGTGACAGTCGGTCCCGTCAGTAGGGTGAAGGATACAAGCAAAACATTCTACTCAAGGCATCAGCATTTTGGTGCGTTGCTCCTCTTTTATGATTAACCTTAAAATTGTGTGATTGCAAAGGTAGCAATCATCTCATCAACTGTGGGGTTGTTCCTGTGGAATTCTACAGCGACAAGGGATTATAATCCGTTTCAACCTTAAAATTTACATCCCTGTCCAAACTTTTCACAGATTATTTCATTTAGAAGGAAGTTTTACTTTTTTAATAATTTTAAAATATTTTTTTATTCTATCAATCGGAAACCAAAAAATTAATAAAATTTCCAGGCCAAAGAAATAGAAAACTAACTCGGAAAGTCTGTGCCATTCTGTAGCACCACTAGTTTTGAATATAGTATCTTTTGTTTTAACTACATCTTTTTGGTTGGTCACCGCAGAAAATTCATTTTATGCCACGTTCAAAATGTTTCTCAACACTTAACTCTCTCCATACAACATAACTCGTACTCGTACGAACTGTCCGTGTTGTGGTCACGAGATTCGCGACGCAAACAGGCGCTGCAAATTGGTGCTGACCTGGTTGGGCCCTGACGCAAAAATCGGAGCACCGGAGGAGCCCAGCCATCTCTCTCCATCACGGACAACTATGTAGGGAGTGAACCAATATTATTGTGTCCGTGCGAACAGTGGGACGCTGCTCCCGCATACATGCGATCATTTTTACTTTCCCGACTAGTGTGACTAATCACATTGTGCCGCTCTCGTGAGGCAGGCACCACAAAATTGAAATACCCCCGCGATTGCCGCCTAGGGGCGGACAACGCCACCTAGGCTAGTGAGTTCTGAACTCACACCGGCCACCGACTCCAAGGAATAAACTCTGACAGTCGCTTGGGGTGGTGAGTGCGTGTGCGAGGAAGAGGGATTCGGCTAGTGATATTGCGAGTGAACGGAGGGCGGTGCGTGAGGCTGGGAGGCACCGACGCAGAAGCCACGCGGGGAAGCTGCTCTCTTCGCAGCTTACGCGGGAGGAGGTAAAAGTTCGTTCAGATTCTACGGCAGGGCAGAATCCCCGCCAGCTGTCACACGGCCACGGCAGAGGGAAAGATGCCTGGCGTTAGGGAGTTGGACTCGTGCGCACACCCAATGACTGTGGAGTGAATACCGTGAGTGACTTGAAATCAGTTACTGCAAATGTTTTGTGTGTGGAAGACGGATAAAAACTCTTGCCACTTCACAACACTTCTTGTTTGCATTGTAAGATAGTGTATTTGTTATAGTGGAAGGTTATGTTGCTGTTTGCCTTTGTCTTTTTTAGTTGCAAAGTATCGCCACTAATGGTAGACTAGAATACTGTGCAGGATTTTGTAACATGTGTTTTTTTTTATTATATTAAGTATGAAGGGTTTTTTGTATGATTCCTCAAAATTGTATTCAAAGAGCCCCGAACTCATTAATATTCCTTTTGATTCTCGCCTTCTCTACAAAGTTTTCCATGCGTTTTAGGAACATATATCAGAAAAAGAGAATAGTCTCTATACATGCGTATATACGGATATATACGTAGGAGAGCAAAAGTTATGAAATGCTGCGCGAAAACACGGCAGATTTTCTACACTAAAAATTAGCCGTCCCTGAGAACTAAATAAAGTCGATTAATGCAGTTACTAAATGAAGAAAGAAAATCTTCTCACATGTGGTGTAGCCAGAATCCCCATTTTATAGTTCCTTGATATCGAAATACCAATTTACAGCAAAACGCCCGTCTCCATCCACTCCTGACTGACCGTCCACTCCTGACTGTCCTTCTTTACGTCCGTCCGTCTGAGACTGTCTGCCCGCCCCTCCCTCTGTCTGTCTGTACGTCCCTCCCTCTGTCTATCCATCCCTCTCTCCCCACTAACGGCTAAACCATACGTTGTTTTTTTTTCGAATTAAAGAAACACCTGTCCATCTGGCTCGGGTCGAAGCTTTTAGATTTTGGAAAATGTTCTTTAAAATTTGGGGATAGTTTACGGACATTATCGAAATGTTTTCAAAAACAGTTTCAAATATATTTAAATTTCTTGTAGGAGTAAAGTAATAGTTCTAATAGAGTAAAATATA